CGTTGGTGAATTAAGATAGCTTACTGTAAATTCCCAGTTCAGCACCCGAAATTGCTTGTCCGTTCTCTATCTATAATACACTGCCGATGTGCCCAAGGATTTGAAACACATTGACTAAGCGTGAATAATAAGATGCCACTATGGGCGGGAACGCCACCAATAGGTAACAGTCTGAGACTGTATTACTCGAAATAAAGATATTTGGTTTTGATGCACGGGTCTGTTATGTTCTTATCAGATTTTGTGAATCGATGTCTAAGATAGGATTTGTGTTTGCATCCCAGCCTCACTTCGTTAGTGTTCTGCTCTTTCACTCATTAATAATAATTTGTTCTCTTGCTGAGGAGGAAGTGACGTAAGGTGCTTCTGATTGGTTGCTTGCTATTTCAAGGTCAGCATTGGCAGAACTACCGACGGACCAGAAATTCTAAAAATCGAAGTAGAAGCTGCACTGGCCAAATTGAACAGAAACAAGGCGACAGGGCCAGACGGAATTGTAATAAAAATGCTGACAGCCTTAGATGACTTTGGGATAGACAAGATCACGGAAATAATAAATTAAATCTACAACATTGGGGATATACCGGAAGAACATAGCAGATCTATCTTCATAGCAATGCCCAAGAAACCAGGCGCAAACAAATGTGAAGTCCACTGAACAATCAGCGTAATAAGCCACGTAGCAAAATTCATCATCCGTATTCTGATGAATACAGCGCGCAGCAGTATCAGGTCAGATATAGGACAAGAACAATGCATGTTCGTTAGACACCGGAGCAAGGAACGCAATATTTATACTCTGAATGTTATCAGAAAGAGCAATACAAATGCAAAAGAACATGAACCTGAGTTTTATAGACTACGCAAAAGCGTTCGACAGAGTACGCCATAAAGATCAGTTAGAGCTACTCAGCAACCTTGACATATTTGGGAAAGACATTAGGATAATCAAAATTGTCTACTGGCAGCAAACCGCCTGTATAAAGATAAAAAAAAATGAGTTCAGCGGATATACAAAAATGGATAGGAGCGAAAGGCAAGGATGCATTTTCTCACCGGACATTCAACCTATACAGCGAGGTAATTCTGAGACAACTGGAAATCCTCCCGGGATTCAGCATCGGCGGCCACAATCTTAACATCAGATACGCAGATGAAACAGTACTGATAGCAGACACGGAAAAGAAATTATAAAACCTACAGAAGATAGCGAAGGAGAGCGAATAGAAGGGATTAAATATAAATTGCAAGAAGACAGAATGCATGGTCATCAGTAAAAGGATGAGCCCAAAATGTGACTTGCAGGCCGGGGAAACTAAACTTAACCAGGTGTGGAAGTTTAAATATCTGGGAAGTGTTTTCATAGAGAACGGTAAGTGCGACACTGAGATCCGTAGACGTATTGGGATAGCCAAGGACGCATTCCAAAAGCTGGGAAGAGTATTGCCAGACAGGAGGATCACTTTGATAACAAAGAAAAGAATATGAAGCAGTTACGTGACATTTGTTCTACTTTACGGCAGCTAATGTTGGACGGTCTTCTCAAAGATGAAGAAGAAACAAGAGGCAACGGAGATGTGGTTCTGCAAAAAGGATGCTAAGGATACCATGGACCGAGCGTGTGAGCAACGATGAGGTCTTAAAGAGGATGCAAACAAGGAGGAAGCTTATACTTAACATCAGGAAGAGGTAGCTGAAATTTCTGGGACACGCAATGAGAAATGAAGGCTTGGAGAATCTGATACTCCCAGGGCGGATAGAGAGAAAGAGAGACAAGGGAAAGCAACGCATGACATAACTGGCGGGCTTGAGCAAATGGATTACAGAACTTGGCCTGGGGGAGTTGGCAGATGGACAAAACCTATTGAGAGCTACAAATTATAGGGAGAAGTGGAGAGCCATGATCGCCTACGTCCTGAAAGTACATAGCACAAAAAAAGAAAAGTTACAATAATAATAATAATAATAATAATAAATATCCAGAAACAACAGATCATCTTGTATCAGGTTGCATGATATTGGCAACCGCTGAGAGAGTGGCCCT